GACAAAGGACAGAAAGATTGACAAAGGACAGAAAGATTGACAAAGGAGAGGACTGCAGCAATAGCAGCTTGCATTCGTGTGTAATTTTCAATTACAGCCTGGATCATTACTCAAAAGCCACCGGGCGCACCCTAGTGTATGTGTGAGACTTGAACTGTTCTTGACGCAATGAATACTCTGAATGGATGGTTTAGCATAATGTGATTCCGCTCAGTACACAAACCATACAGCAGCTGCACCGCTGGAACACCAAGAGGGTCCAGTCTCTTCGAGGTGCACTGTAACTCTCAATCTGGGCAGAAGAAATCCAGGAATCCAGTCACTGATCACCTGTGAGCTTTCAGCACTGCAATTCTAGAAACCAACCCGGAAGAACCAGTAACTGCTGATACTCAGCTTGAATTAGGCACAAAGGCAAGATGGGGAAGGGGGACAATGCCTCAAGAAACACCACATGCAATAACATTAAGTGCAATGAAAAATATACCAAGTGCACCCCGACTATCAGCATTTATGGATCTCAATAAATAAACCTGGGAGGGGCAAAAGGTCATTTTCATTCTTCCGAGGGACGCAGACATCATTGGCTAGACCAGTGGTTATGACCAATCCCCTATTGTCTTTGAGTTGCTGTTGAACTGCCGCCTTAAACCACTGCTGTCCTTGTGGTGTAAGCATTCTCATAGATCATCGGGAAGACACTTCCAGAAACCAGTGACAGTGAAGGAACGGCGATATATTTCCTGGTCAGGACAGTGAGTTGTTTGGAGGGAATCTTGAAGGTGGTGGTGTTCCCATTTATCTGCTGCCCTTGTCCTTCAAGATGGAAGTGGTCGTGGGTTTGGAAGGTACTGTCTGAGGATCTTTGGTGAATTTCTGCAGTGCATCTTGTAGATAGTACACACTGCAACTGCTAGGACGCTACCCTTAGGAAGTCCTGCAGAGATGTCCTGCAGCTGAAATGACTGACCTCTAACAATCACAACCATCTTCCCATGAGTCAGGTGTGATCTCAGCCACTGGAGAGTGTGTCCCCTGATACCCATTGATTCCAGTTTTGCTAGGGCTCCTTGATGCCACACACAGTCAAATGCAACCTTGATGTCAAAGGCAGCCACTTTCACCTCACCTCTGGAATTCAGCTTTTTTGTCCAGAACTATTGCCAGAATGTAGTCAGAGCCCATATCCAGTGTCCAGACATTTCTTGATATCACATGGAGTGGATCAAACTGGCTGAATACTGGCATCTGTCATGCTGGAGACCTCCACATTATTCACTTGGTATTTCTGACTGAAGACTGTCGCAAATACTTCAAAGATGTGCTCATGGAACCCCATCATTAAAGGTCAGGATATTTGTGGAGTCGTTTCCTGTTGGTTAGTTGTTCAATTGTCCACCAGCCTTCATGACTGGATGTGATAGGACTGCAGAGCTTGGATATAATCCACAGTACAACTCTATAAACCAACCAGGAAGAACCAGTAACAGGGTCAAGGCAAGGAGATATTAATACTACTAGTGACCCAAAATTACACATTTTTTGACCATATTTAACTCACCATCTGTGAGGGAACATTCATCTTCCAGAAACAGGCACTCATCTGAAGACATGTAGAGGTGATCGATGGTAAGGCAGGGAAAGAAGAAAGACTGGAATCCCTGTCAAAAAAACAAAGTGAATAGTCAGAACTACTCCAAATCAAGGAGGAGCGTTCAGGTCATTTCATTGGGCTACCCGTGAAATTGAATATGACATTGCACACAAGGCGCTCATTTCGTCAACCTGGGTTTTTCTAAAAAGAGGGATCTGGGCTTTATTTACCAGGAGCTTGGTGACTGGGGAAGGAGGTTGCAGTTTCCAACCTCTAGATCAACCCACAATGTCACTTAGCTGCACATTTATAATGAGCATGTTCAGCTGATCAAAAAAAGACCTTCTTCATTGGTATTTAATGAAAACATTCAGGATAATAAAAGAAAGAAGGTATAACATCCTGCCACAGTTTAGAAAGGATGTTCTGGTCTGGGGCCCTTTGATGACTAGTGGGCAGACGCCGTCACTGTTTGCTTTAAGAAAGCGATGCTTGAGAGATATGAGGCCTTTACTGTAGTTGGTGTCCCTAAGTTGTCTATGATCTTGCAACTAGCAGTAACTGGCTACATTTTCAACTCTATACCACTAAGGGTTAAACCAGAGATATAGCCCTCTGCTTTATACTAGATGCCGACAGAAACTAAGCTGCGTCGCTGTGCCTAACTCGAGGAGAGGAAGAGAACATGTTTTCATTATTAACAAACTGTAAACCATTTAATGTAATTTATCGAGATTAAAAAAAGGAAGAGTTGGATCGACACAGTGCATTTGCCAGTGCCAGCCTAATAAATGTGCTCACTGTGTCGAATAGGAAGCAGCCAATTTGCAGAGCAAAATCCCATAAATAGTTGATTGTCACTGGATATAATTAACAAATTTGCGATTTGTACCATCACCACTTTTGTCATTCCCCTGCGGGCTAGCTCATCAGAAATCCATCATTCTGCTCTCACTTCCTCTCCCTTGAGAAAAAATTGTTATATCTCAAAATACGTGCCCATGGTGAAATGGCACCGAACTGAAACAACGCCCCTTTGCCCCAGTGCTGACTGACGAGAGGGTATCTTCCTGAAATACTGCCCCTTTCCCGCCCCACAGATGTTGCCAGATCTGCAGGAGCATTTCTATCATTTTCTGCTGTTCGATTCTCTGAAGTGTCATTTGAAGGATAAATACATTGACGCTAGAGGGACACTGAAGAATTTCCCTCCTCTTTCTCAAGATAGTGCTTTGAGATCACGGGCTTAGTAGACCCATGAGGACAAGCACCAACCCACTTTAATAGTCTCATTGGAAAGTCAGCACCTCCAACAGTGCAACACTCACACAAGGCTGCACAGAAATGCCAGACAAGACCCTACAGTCGACCTTATACCCACAGCCCACTAACTAGGAGCTGAGTGCGATACTAACACCATGGCTTAAAACGTGGTCTAAAAGCTGTACCCCACCTATGTAGACAACTTGTTAAATTAGATTTCTGTACTAAATCACTTCTGTCGTGGGACACCAGGTAGCAAAACCCTTGCAAGGCTTCTGTTAGAGGCTTTTCAGTCAGACGCTGGATGTGGCTGGTACCAAGCTCTCACCTTTTTCAGCAGGCACACCATGTTGGTGCGTGAATTGACAAGCAACGCAAGAGGTCGTGCCAGGGCCTCCTGGTACTGTAGGCAGCAGGCATAGAACTTGGACCAGAATTCCACCTGTAGCTGACGGTATACCTCCTGTGAGAACTCATACTCGGTCACACTGTTCTGAATCTAAACACAGCAAAAACATTACGAGAGGCGGCATTCAGCATCAGACCACAAATTCAACAAGAGAACACCTGACTAAATGATGCAGACCAAAATGTCTCAATTCAGTCATCAGGCATAAAAGAATCCTCTCAGTCAAATTCATTCATTAATTCATTCCCCATGCTGGGAAAATAACACCAATGTGTTTTTGAATGTGAAGGAATACAAACAGGCAAAATGGCCTCCCTTCAAGCACACTGAAAAAGTAATGAGTTAGAAGCTCTCACGTTTGACAAGAAAAGTTGAGAGAAGGAACATTTTAACTGATAGACTTGAAGAGCGAAGAGAAGCTGTGATGCATTTTAAACACAATTAAACCAAGATCAAGGAGTACAGGCTACACTGTTCAACATAATTATAACAAGCATGTAACACTGCAGATATCCATGGAACAAGCAAGCACAGACTGAGGAGGAGTAGAACATCTTGTGGATTTAAAGAATATTAAATTCTAACATCTCCAACATTACCGCATTTTCCACAGCTAACGTTACTTCCTTCTTCAGCCCATCCATAGTTGGGTCCACGATTCTGTCTGCCCCTCGACAATAGATCTAAAACAAAGATTCACAACACAGTGACCAAAAGTTGTTAGCCACTGGGTTTCTATGTACTAGTGCTGCGTTCCTTCCTGAATCAGACTTACTACTGGCCACAGTACACCCAGAGAACAAAACTAGATTCTGTAAGGTACACAATGACATTCAACAGCCCAGAAAAGCAGAGAAATATATATCAGAAGTTTGTGTTTTCATCAAACACAACCACAGTTTAATATACCTATACAGCAAAATGGATTTGGGTGCATTTGATAGCAGGCTGAACTGGATACAGATCCATGAATCGACCTTCAACCAATTACAAATACTTCAGGTGCCCGACATCTTTAGACAGTGGATCTGTTGTAACCGCATTATTTGAAATGAAGATCAATGACAGGAAAAGGAAAAGGGACGAGACAATGCCAATGACTACTTAGAATCTTGTGACAGAAAGTCTGAAGCTAAGGTAACAATTCTGAGGCTTTTGGAAGCTGAGCCAGGTTCAAGAGGGCAATTTCAACGATGAAAGCATCTCATTAAGTGATTTCCCACTTCTCATGCAAAGAGCCAATGTCCAAATTATATAGCACTATTCAGATTCTCAGGATGTCCTAACAAACTTCACATCCAAAAATGTACCTTACGACATGCAGCCGCAATTGTCATGTAGGAAAGACAGCAACTACAAGCAATAGATGAAGTACTGTCCAGATCACTGATTCCACTAATTTTCGTCCCGGCTGCATAGGACTGAGGCCCGTGCTTGGCAGGGACTGAACTCAATGCTGTGATCGGTGTGCTGACGCCAATTGCCGTGTGTCGAACATTGCACTGTCTGTGTTTCGGCGATGTAAAGAGAACGGTGGTACGGATAATTTAGTTTAAACCATATCTCAAGTCGTCATGAGATGATGTATGCATACCTGAGAGGGCATGAGGAAGTGCTGTGCTTCCTGTCTCAGTGTCTTCGATAAATTTAATTCCAATAAATTTTGACACTTCATCAAATCAGTGATATCAACTGTAGGTACTTGAGGTCCTAGCAATGATGACAGTGGCACTCCAATTGTTACAACTCATCAACGTGAATGTGACCCAAATATCTCTACTCTCTGCTTCTCACTGGTTAACCAATCCTATACCCGTGGTGCTAACACTAGGGTTTAAGACATTGTTTCCAGGTTGTCGACTTGCTCACTCAGCTGGCTCGTTTTTGTTCAGACGTTTCGTCACTATGCTAGGTAACATCATCAGTGAGGCCTCCAATGAAACGATGTTGTTCTACTCTGGCTCAGAACCAGAAATAACAACTCACCATAACAGACTGGACAGTATAAATTCCAAGCGGAGTTGAACAACATTGCTTCATTGGAGGCCTCACTAATGGTGTTACCTAGCATGGTGACGAAACGTCTGAACAAAAACAAGCCAGCTCAGCGAGCAAGTCAACAACCTCACCCACAACCCAAGCTACAAATCTTTGCAAAAGCCTTAAACATTGTCTCCTACTTCTCTCATCCTACATCTGGATTTTGTTCTGCACTCTTTAGCAAACCAATAGCAAGAAGAGAAATGAGATGTGAAGTCTCCTCTCTGGAGCTTCCTTCTGTATCTTCTCTTCATTCATGGGGTGTGGGCATTGCTGGCTGGGCCAGCATTTATTGCCTGACCCTAATTGTTCTTGAGGAGGTGGTGGTGAGCTGCCTTCTTGAACCGTTGCAGTCCATTTGCTATAGGTAGACCCAAGTGCCATTAGGGAAGTAGCTCCAGGATCTTAAACCAGTGACAATCAAGGAACAGTGATATAATTCCAAGTCAAGGAAGCGAGCTGCTTTGTCTTGGATGGCGTAAAGCATCTTGAGTGTTGTCGGGGCTGCACTCATCCAGGCAAGTGGGGACTATACCATCACACTCCTGACTTGGGCCTTGTAGATGGTGGACAGGCTTTGGGGAGTCAGGAAATGAGTTACTCGCTGCAGAATTTCTCAAGTCTAACCTGTAATTCTGATCCAGTTAAATTTCTAGTTAACAGAGATGTCCACTACCTTCACGACATTGATGGTGGTAGACATTCAGCAATAGTAGCACTGCTGGTAATGTCATGGAGAAGCAATCAGATCTTAAGGTCATTAATTGGCACATCCCACATCAGACTTGTCTGGGTCCTCGAGTTACTCACCATTGAATGCCTATGGCACAGACACACAAACACAAACATAGACCTTGCTCAAAAGCACTAGCCTCCCGCTGAACACAGGCTATGATCTCGCTTGGAACAATATTATAATAAAGCAGAAAAGCTTTTAATGGAAAAGAATAGCAGAGAAAACAGAACTACCTGCAGAGCTTTCAGCAGGGCATGAGCTGTAAACCGGCCGGGGGCAAAGAGGTATTCTAGATAGGCTTCCTGTTGAGAGATCAGCATTTTAACTTAGTCAACAACATGCACTTGTATAGAGCCTTTAAATGTGATTAACCAATGTATTTTACAGGAGACATGCTTGACAAGAATTTCACACTGAACTACAGGGATGTCATGAGAGAGGAGAAATCGTGGGATAGAGTGCGGGAACTGCAGGGTCTCAGCTGCTGAAGGCACAGCCACCAAGAGTAGAAAGAAGGAAGTGGCTGATACATAGGCACCAGAGGAGTGCGAGGATTGGACGAGGTTAGACATGGGTTAAGCAATGAGATTAGGTTCGCTGTGGAAAGGACGAGATGCCATCCAGAGTAAATTAACAAATGGCCAAATTCACTGGCACAAGAACAGATCTGCCACAGGCAAATCAGAGCCTTAAATAAAGGGGATAGCTGCTTTTAAAGAGGAAGAGAATTTGGGCACAAACAAGGTACATTCCAACGAGGTGTAAATAAAGGGCAAAGAAATCCAATGATCATTGGATGACTGCTAGCTAACACATCAGGGAATCCCAAAGTCTTCTATAAACAGGAGTAGTGAAAGGACAGCATGGAGAAGGGATGGGACCAATCACAAACTGAAAAAGGAGACCTAAACGTGGAATCAGACAAAACAGCTGAGGCACTAAAGAAATACTTTGACTTCGTCAAGGACGCTGCTGGTAAGTCACAGTGAAAGAGGAGCTGTTGGAGACCCTAGATGGCCGAAGCTGGACAGAAGTGAGTAAGAAATAGGCTGGTTACAGTTAACACTGGTAAGTTACCAACATTAGAGAGGATGTATCGACGGATACCGAAAGAAGTCAAACGTGGAAACTGCGTAGGCACTGGCTGCAATTTACCAACCCCCACCCCAACTTTCAGGTGTTGTGTGAAAGGTTTGGAGAATTGTAGATGTTACCTTGTTATCTAACAAAGCTGTAAGGATAAACAAAGTCAGTTTAAGCTCAATGGTGGGAAAAGTTTTAGAAATGATAACTGAGGAAAGAAAGTTAATAGTCATTGGGACAAAGGTGGATTAATTTAGCAAAGTTAGCCTTTTGACAGGCTTACAGAAAGGGCTGATGAGAGTAATGCAGTCACAATGTGATCTTCCAAAAGACAACTAATAAAGAGCTACATTATAGGCTTGTGAGCAAAGTTGAAGTTTGTGGAATCAAAGGGACAATGTCAGGGTGGATATGAAGTTAACAGAGACAGGAAACACAGCAGTGATGAGTGTGCAACAGCTCCAGTCCAAAAGAACCAATGGTACTTTAATCTAGGTATAAGCATTGGGGCCACTGCTTCTCCCAATTAATATTAACGACAGTGACTTGGAAACTTGGACTAAACTCATAAGTATTGTAAATTGTGAGGAAGATAGTGATGGACTTCTGAAGTGCAGAAGTTAGTGGAATGGATAGACACGTGGCAGATGGAATTTAAAGCACAGAAGTATAAAGTGATAGTTTTTGTCAGAAGGAACATGAAGAGACAGCATTAAATAAAGGATACAATGACAAAGGGGGACAGAAGCAGAGGGTACACCAGCCCAATTGACCAGCTCCTGCCCCACATTTCCACCCAGATCCGCACTCCTCCACCCCAGCTCTGCCCCCCCCCCATCCTCCCAGACTCTGGCCCCCTCCATGAATCTGGGTCACCCAGACTCCAGCACACCGTGTTTCCAACCCACTCACCCATTGGCTGAGATCGCCTTCCTTACACAAAACCACGCAGCTCCTGTCCACTCTCAACCTAGATATATAATTCTCCTTGTTCCAACAGTACCACCCCAACTCCCCTCCACCCACCACCCCTCAGCAGCCTCCTCCCCCCACACACACACAACCCTCTACCTCTCCCTCCACCCCCCAGGACTGCTAATCCATATGAAGAGGCAAAAAAGGGGGATATCAGAACCAAGATCCCGTCTGACACATTCAAACTGTCAGTGAGACAGCCCCCCTGGGCTGAAGCTCCAAACTATTTATTCACAGCAACATGACAGCACAGTTTCTGCCTTGATGAGAACATCACAATGCATTTACCGGTCAACCTAGCAGCATCAATATCATTAAACCTGGTGGAAACTGTCATGTCAAATACACCCAAGACCAGGGTTATCAAAAGGATCAGATCCCAATTTCAACCCTGCCTGTTCTATTAAACAGCTTGCTGGCTGGATCACATTTGGTCAATGAGATTACGGTAAAGTGGTCTGGAGGGAATGAAGGCTCACCTTAGGATCCTGATCCTCTGGTATGTATAATTCTTCTTCAGCAACAGGCTGTGTGAAGACCTGATTCCATTGTCCAGCATTGTTACTGCAACAAAAGAAAACCATTACCCTTTGGCTACAAGCTACACCTCCTCCACAGCTAAACCTACTCCATTTTCAATAGTTACCCTTCCTCCACTCCTGAAGACATATGAACATTCAGCAAAACCAATCGCTGAGAAACTCGCATTAGTCCCGGCAACAGACACTGAGTGTACAGAAGGTAATTGATAATGAAGGGCAAAGAAAGACACTCAAAGTCCACACTTTGCAAAAAGGGAGGTGTGGGAATTGGCACTACATCTTCAGAGGTGTGGGCATCAATGACCGCTAGGTCACAGCCAATTTTAACACAATGTCAACTGTGCTCAGACAGGTGTGAACCTGGGACTGTCCCCAGCTGTTAGCGTTGCATTTACCGGTGGAGTCAGACCTGGGCCATGAAACATTAAGATATAAATTATGCATCTGCAGTTGGGCAGGGGAACAGAACAGGAAGGGAGGGTTTTGGAGTTGGTGCTGTGGAATCCAGTGACTTGTATCCACATTGGTGGTAATGACATTAACAGTACTTGAAAAGGACATTCTGCTAATAATCTCTGGGTTACCATCTGTGGAACACAGAAATTGGACAAGGCAAATAAACTGAAGGAATTCCACACAAAGCTCAAAGATTGGTGAGTGGAATCAGGGCGGGGCTGGTGAGGAGAAGTGTAGGCTCACAAAATAAAGAGATATGTCAGAATTACAGGACAGCTATTTCGATACCAATACACAGAGCAAAACAGACAATGTACAAACATAGAAAAACTACAGCAAATAGGGTCAATGAGGACGAAGAATGGTAAAAAGGCAAAATTAATAGTTCTTTACCTGAATGCATGTGGCACAAAGACAGGTTAACAGGTATAATCTTATAGTCATTACAGAAACAAGGTTAGAAAATCAAAGTGAGTACTAAATATTCATGTGTAACTTTTTGAAAGGAAGGGAGGGGAATGAAGGGATGAACAAAGGAAGGAAGGAATGGGTAGTGGTTGGCATTGTTAATACAGAATGGAGTAAGTATGCTGCCAAGGAATAATCTTCAATTGGAAGATGTACTGTCCATATGAGAGAAGGTAGGAAACAAAAACAAGAGGTAGAAAACACTAGTGAGAGTTGTCCAAAACCCCCCAATAGCGGCTAAAGAATAGGCCAGTCAATGAGTACATTTATCGTAAGCGATTTTAATCTTTGGATAGATTGGCAGAAGTAGCCACAATTTAGACAGTGTATTAGGGATAGTTTTCTAGAATAATATGTTGTGGATCCAACCAGGGACCAGGCTATTTTAAAATGAATAATGAGGCAGGTTTAATAAATTATCTCAGAGTAAAAGATCCCCTAGGACGCAGAGACCAGAATATGGCCGAATTTAACATTCAGTTTGAAAGTGAGAAACTTGGGTTGGAAATAACTGGGCTAAATACAAATAAAGGTAGTTACAAAGGAATGAGAGCAGAGCTGGTTAGAGTGAACTGAGAATGGAGTTTAGCACAGAAGATGGTTGAGGAACAAGGGCAGATGTTTATGAACGTAGTTCATGGCGAACAGCAGAAATATAACCTAGTGAGAAAGGAGAATTCAAGGAAAAGGGAAAAGTCAACCATGGTTGACCAGGGAAGTTAATGATAACATCAAATTGAAAGAAAAAAAACATACAGCATGGCAAAGGTTAGTGGTAAACCAGAGGATCGAGAAAGTTTTAAAAACCAGCAAAAGACGACCCAAAAAGAGAGAAGATTAACTTTGACGGTAAACTTGCAAATTATAATATCAAGAATAGCAAGAGTTTCTTTCAATATATATAAAGGAAGAGCGATCAAAGTGAACCAATACCCCTTAGGACGAGGCTGGGAAAATAAATACTTTGTATCAGTCTTTACAGTAGAAGGTACTAATAGCATTTGAAAAATAATATGCATTAAAGGGGCAAAAAGATGAAAGAAAATAAATACAATAACTATCACTAGGGAAACTAATGGGGCTAAAGACTGGTAAGTCCCCTGGACCTGATGGGTAGCATCCTAGGACATAAAGGAAGTAGCTACAGGAAATCATTTTCCAAAAAACCCTTAGATTCTGGAAAAGTGCTGGAAGATTGGAAAGCTTCCAATGTAACAACTTGATTCAAAAAGAGAAGGAGGAGGCAAAAAAAAAAGACAACTTTAGGCCAGTTAGCTTAACACTTATGTTTTGAAGAAGTGTCACTGGATTGAAGTGTTAACTCTGCTTTCTCTGCACAGATGCTGCCAGACTGGCTGGGTTTTTCCAGCTATTTCTGGTTTTGTTTTTGAGCTTAACATCTGTTATTGGAAAATACGAAGAATCTATTATAAAGAGTGCAGTAGCAGAGCATTTAGAAATACGTAATATAATCAAAGTCAACTTGAAGGGGGAAATCATGCCGAATAAATTCATTAGAATTCTTTGTGGTGGTAACAAGTATGATAAAGGGGAAGCAGTTGATGCAATATATTTGAATTTTCACAAGGCATTTGGTAAAGTATAACATATTAAACTATTTAATCAGATAACGCCCAATGGTGTTGGAGGTAGCATATTATCTTGAACAGAGGGTAGGCTATATAATAGAAGAGGGAGTGGGATTAGATAGTATTTTCAGGATGGTAAATTTTAACTAGTGGAGTGTAACCGGAATCAGGGCTGGACCATAATTATTTACAATACATATTAATGACTTGGATGAGGCAAGTCAATTTATCATAGCCAGGTTTGTGGATGACAAAAATAGCCCAGGTTTAGCAAGTGAGCAAAACCTGGCAGATGGAATGTAACTTGGGAAAATGTAAGGTTATGCACTTTGGCAGGAAGAATAGATGAGCTGAATACTATTTAATTGGGGAAAGACCTGCAAAAAGCTACAGAAGAGAAAGATTTGGGATTCTTCATGCATGAATTAGCAAAAACTAAAATCCAAGTCCAGCACGTGATGGGGAACACAAATGAAATAGTGATGTTTATTTCAAAGTGAATGAAGTATGAAAATAGGGAGTTCTTGCTCAAACCATACAAGACACTAATTAGACCACAGTGGGAATTTGAGAACAGTTTTGGTTTCCTCATTGAAGGAAGGAGAGTCTAGAGAATGTTCATTAGGTTGACATAGAATATGGAGGGATTCTTTTTTTGAAGAGAGGTTGAGTAGATTGGGCTTGTACTCATTGAAGTTTCAAAGAATGAGACCCCTTATTGAAACACAGAAGATTCTGAGGGGACTTGCAGGGAAGACAGTGTCAGCCTTCTCCTCCTTGTGGAAGAGCCTTGGACTAGACGGCATAATCTTAGAGTAAGGGGTCACCCATTTAAGATAGAGAGGAGGAATTTCTTCTCTCAGATATTAATGAAACTGGAATTCTTTACTGCAGAGAGTGGTCAAGTCCAGGTCATTAAGTATATTCAAGACAAATAGATCATTCAGTATCCTTTGCTTTATGTCAACTAAAGCATCAATGTCAGCTAACAAACTACAGATCTGCCACAAAGAGAGAATTCTAAGTTGAAACAGAACTATTTTACTTTAATCTGTATCTAATATTTCTGTACACATCATACAGACAGCGAAAGCGAGCGCAACAGAGAGACAAAAAGAGAAAGATAGAGTTAGAGTTAGTGAGAGATAAAACAGAAAAACTACAACCTCCTTTCCTGCAAGACAGTTATTATTCGGTGCAGAGGGGAAAGAAGTGTTTTTTGCTTTATTTTTGAACCAGAGTTTGTACTTTTTTTTTTAAAATAGATTGAAGCCTGAGATCAGGGGTCCAGCACAAAACATTATAGGAGAATCATAAGTTAATTGATTTGTCATAGATATTCAAAATAGTAGCTATCATGTTACTTTCAGATAAAAGGAGAATGGTAGAAATATTTTACAGATTCAAAACTTAAAGGGTACTACGAAATTTAACAAAAACAAATTAAGAATTAAGTCAGTTAATTACAGGCGCAGGGCCAGATGATATGCTGTTCGTGCATGACTTGGAGGAAGGAAGTGAATTTACTGTAGCCAAATTTGGAGATGACAAAAATGTGTGGAAAGTCGCAAGAGGGATACAAACAGGCTTTCACACTGAGAAATTGTACAAGTGTAGGGAAATTTGACAACAGAAACTTAAAGGCCTTGTACTTGAATGCACAAAATATTCAGAATAAAATGAATGAATTGACAGGACAAATAGAGACAAAAGGATATGATTTGATGGTGATTACTGAGATGTGGGTGCAGGAAAACGACATTCAGGAACTGAATATCCAGGAATACTCACTACTTCGGAAGGATAGGTGGGAAGGAAAAGGAGGTGCTGTAGATTTCTTCGTAAAGGAAAGGATCAGCACTGGAGATGAAGGCATGGAATCAGTCTGGGTAGAAATAAGAAACAGCAAGAGAAAGAAGTCCCTGATGGGAGTAATTTGTAGGTTCCCAACAGTAGTCCCGAAGCGGGGCACATAATAAACCAAGAAACGCTAGCGGCTTGTAAGAAAGGTACAGCAGTAATCATAGGTGATTTGAATATGCATATAGACTGGATTGATCAATGTGGCAAAGGTAGCCTTGAGGGAGTTCATTGAATGTATTAGAGATTGCTTCTTGGAGCAATACATTTTGGAATAAGTTCTGGAACCAACCAGGGAGCAAACTATTCTGGATTTGGCATTGTGTAGAGATGGGATTAATCAATGATCCCACAGTAAAGGATCTTGGAGGGAAGAGGGATCAAAGCATCCTGGAATTTCAAATTCAGATTGAATGTGAGAAACTGGAGTCCCAGACTAGTGTTCTGGAGTTAAACAAAGGTAAGCAAGAAGGCATCAGGACAGACATGGTCCAAGTACATTGGGCAGGATGACTTAAAGGTAACACTGTTATAAGAGTCATACGGCACAGAAGCAGACCGTTTGGTCCAACCAGGCTATGCCGAATATAATCCCCAATTAAACCAGACCCACCTGCCTGCTTCTGGACCTTATCGATAAGCAGTGGCAGATGTTTAAGGAGGTACATAACTGCTTCTAACTAAAATATATTCCAGAAAGGACAAAATAGTGTAAGAAAGGGCATAGACACCCATGTCTAAGTAAGAAAGTTAAAGATAATATAAAGACAAAAACTTAAGGCGTACCATATTGCAAAGGCCAGTGGCTGGCTGGAAGATTGGAAAATTTTTGAAAAATCAACAAAGGGTTACTAAAAAGTCATAACTGTATGGAAGAAAACTTGGAAAACTATGGAAGAAGTGTATAGAAGATTTTGCTATCTCATTTTATAAGTATATAAGAGTGAAGAGTAGCTAAAGTGAATGTTGGTCCCTTAGAGGATGGGGGGGGCATTAATAGTGGGGAACACAGAAACAGTGGAGCCACTAAATCAATATTTTGCTCGGTTTTCATGGTGGAGAACATGAGTACCATCCTAATAGTAACAGGTCATAGAGATTACAGAGAGGGAACAACTTCAAACAACTACCACCACTAGAGAAAAATTACTGAGCAAATGATTGTGTTTGAAGGTAGACAAGTTCCCACGGTCTGATGGCCTACATCCAAGGGTCTCAAAGGAAGTGGCAGCAGAGACAGTGGATCCACTGATATTCCAAAACTTCCTGTATGCTGAAAAGATTCCTGGGGATTGGAAAAATGCTAATGTAGCACCCTTATTCAAAAAGGGAAGGAAGCATAAAGAAAGAAACTACAGACCAGTAAGTTTAGTGTGTCATTGGTAAGAGATAGAATCTATTATTAAGCATATAGTAACAGACCATTTGAAAAGTCAAAATGCAATCCAGAGTCAGCGTGGTTTTTACGAAAGTAAATCAAGTTTGAGTGATGTGCTAGAGTTCTTTGAAGGTGTAACAAGCAATGTAGATAATCGGGATCCTGGTCTTCCAGAAGGCATTTGGTAAGGTGCTGCATGAAAATTTAATCGACAAAGTAAGATCACATGGGGTTTGGGGTAATTTATTAGCTTGGCCAAAAGATTAGCTAGCCAACAGGAAGCAGAAAGTTAGAATAAATAGGTGTTTTTCTGGTTGGCAAGCTGCAACTAGTAGGGTGACACAGGGTTTGGTCTCGGGCCCTAACTATTTCCAATCGATATTAATGACTTGGATGCAGGGATAGAAAGCACCACACTTAAATTTGCAGGTGACACTAAAATAGGTGGGACTGTAAATTGCAATGAAGTAATAAGATATTTACAAATCAATATAGATAGATTTGGCAGATGAAGTTTAACATGGCTAAGTGCGAGGTTATCCATTTTGGTCGGAGGAATAAAAAGGCAATTTATCTAAATGGACTGAAACTTCAGAGTACTTTATTGTAGAGGGATCTGGGTGTTCTTGTGCATGAATCTCAGAAAACAAGAATGCAGGCAAAGCAAGTAATAGAGAATGTATAAGGAACGTTGGTATTTATTGTTAAAAGAATAGAGTATAAAAGTGGGGAAGCTTCGATGCAACTGTACAAGGCATTAGTGAGATTGCACCTGGAGTACTGTATACAATTTTGGTCCCTTGACTTGAGGAGGGAAGTAGTTGCATTGGAGGCAGTTCAGAGGAGATTCAGTTCCCAGAGATGAGGGACTTGTCTTATGAACAGACATTGAGCAATTCAGGTTTATACTGTCTAGAGTTTAGAAGAATGAGAGGGGATCTAATGAAGGTATACAAGCTGCTGAAAGAGATGGTCAAAGTAGACGTTGAGAAGATGTTTCCTGTTGTGGGGCAATCTAGAACAAGAGGTCATAGTTTTATGATAAGGAATAGCAGAATTTTAAAACAAAAAAGAGATGCTAAGTAATTATTGCTCTCAAATAGTTGTCAAATAATCTGCGAACGTCACTATCCCAGACTGCTAGGAAACTGAACAAATTTGAGGAGACAGATTTTTAATTAGTCATGGGTTGAAGGGTTATGGAGAGCGGGCAAAAACGTGGAATTGAGACTGGAATAAGACCAGCCACTGTTGTATGAAATGGCGAAAGAAGCATGAAGGGCTGAATTGCCCACTCATGCTCCTAGCTCTTATGTCCTCATTAGTGAGAATGACATCAGCAGACAGCTTAGGGGTCAGGATCAAATGTGGAAAGGGCAATTCCTAAGTTCCAGCTTTTTTTCTTAAATCTCCAGAAAGTCCACCTCCTGTAAGGATCAGATGTAATCATATATACATGTTATTTTCGTTTGCCGTTTCACAGAGAACTTACTGCTCAAAGCTGATGTATCGTACGTTCGCCTGGTTGTCCTCATCCTGCCACAAAGCCCAGATATCAGTGGGAGTGAGGGCAAAATCCACCAATGTTTCCTGTGAAGAGACCAAGTATCAGGCAGGCTAACCAGACTTGTTTCTCCAATCTATACACAGATATACAGCTGCTCCCATCCCATTCTGGATAGAGACATGCAGCCTGTCCCCATCCCATTCCAGGGGTTGATACACGCCCCAGTCTACCAACTTTATCCACGGTGAAGCTGTTAATTGGTCAGACAAAAGTAATACAATGAAATTACTTCTCTAGATTGGGAAGGAAAGGCCAATGGAGAAAGTGAAAATATTCTAGCCAGATCTCCTTCGAATGAAATTGGGAATTGTTTCTTTATAGTGGATACAGTTTGGAACTCTGGTACCAATAGCCACAACAAAAGGAGTGTGTGATATATTATACTTTTATTATCACACACACACACATTTATGTATGTTTATGCATATTAAAATGAAATATTAAAAGAATTTAGGTTTCAAATTAGTAGCATGAGGAAGTTGGCCTATTTTTGGGAAGACGTTTAAAAATTAAGTTGATTGTGACAAACTTCCGATTGGAGAGAGGAAAACATTCTAAATCCAAAAACAAGCTAATTGAGGACTTACTTTAGATTGGAAAAACACAGATCAGAAACAGAGTTTATAATGACCTGACTGGAGTCTGATGGAAGCATAAGAGATTGCTCAGAATAGTCAACGGGTTAAGTTATCTCAGAGAAAGAGAGAGTTTAGTTTGTGAAACTTCCAGACTAAGAACATTTGGCTGGAAATCTGCATTGGCTATTCCAAGCTGCGAAAATCCAGGATCTTAGCTGGATTAAAGATAAAAGACTTCATAAGTGTCAGGACCAGACTGAGATGCAAAAGAAATAACTAAAGATTTAATAGGGAAGGAAGCTTTCACTCGTTTGTGATCAAGTGTAAAGTGATGATGTTGGGCAAGAGTTGGAATTTTGTTTCGCCTATGTTTTGAAATCTTTTAAACTGTGTTAAATTTAGGTTGTTTTATTTCATTTTTATTTATTTTATGCAATGAGCTTCAATTTTATTGTTAAAAACAAATTTACAGTCTGATGTTCTTATGGCTCAGTGAAAGACTGCCACATTAAAACAATGAAATATAATCAAGTCAGATTTCATTCTGCGATCTGATTTGTCTAATAACAACATCAGCTGGGATTCTAACTCAGCAAATGATGCTCAATCAACTGAGTTTTAAATGAAAGATCAATAGATTTGTGTTTATCAAAGATACTATGGGATCTATGGCAAATGTGGCTATAAGGAGTTAGGTACTATGATCCAATTCAATGATCAAACAAGCTCAAGTTGCAAGTTCTCTCTTCTTGTTAGGATCAGTTTTGAACAAATGTTTTGGTTCTGTTAGATTTTATAAGAAAGCATTTATGAAGCATTAAAGGGATTACACAAAGGTAACGGGTTTAGGAAAGGGATATCATGCTTAACAAATGTCTTGGAGCTTTTTTTTTGAGGATGTAACTAGCACAATAGTGACTGATTAAGCAGAAGCAGGGTTGCAGCATATTTGGATTTCAAGAAAGTTTTTGATAAGGGCCCCACATAAGAGGCTAGTGGGCATAAATTCAAGTACACAGGATTGAGGTAATATACTGGCAAGGATTGAGAATTGGTGACAGACCAGAAACAAAGAGTGGGAATAAACGGGCCTTTTTCTCAATGGCAGGCGGACTAGTGGCGTACTGCAGGGATCAGTGCTTGGATCCCAGCTATTCATGTAATTTGGAAGGCAACCGTGATCATACTGAATGGCAGAGCAGGTTCAAAGGGCCAAATAGCCTACTCCTGCTTCAAGTTTCTATGTTTACAGCAGTTGCAGAGTACTAATCTAAAGCCGCTACCAATATACCACAGGAGTTATAAAGAGGCAACATCCCTGCTTGATAGTAACAATACAACTAACTAAGCCAATTTCCCATTTAAATACAAATGTTACAATTGGATTTACTAAAAGCAAACAGAGAAAGAGACAGTTTCATGGCCAGGATTTGGGAAAGGCTGACATCAGGTGGTACTGACCTGTGTGAAGAAGAGAGTAGAGATGTGATCCAGACTGTAGCGGTTACTCTCAATGCAGCTCACCAACTGGAAGACACAGAACTACAAGAACAGATTGTTAAGCTTCATTGCTGGATCAATAAAATGTCCTCTTGATTTGTAAATTCTCAGATTCTACGCAATATGTTTCTCATGGAGGCTGTTCAGTACAAACTGATGCAGAACCGACAAAAAACTGTGAACACAATCTCTCTCTCTCTCACACACACACAGTCACACATACACACGTACAGTAGACACTGTCAACAGCTGAACACAGCCATAGTCGAATGTGTGTTAACACTGAGCTAGTACCTGTCCACGTTTGGGGCAGTGCAGGTAAACAGCCAAGAAGAAACCAGTGGAGGAGTAAGCCAAACGCAGCTTATGACCCAGACTGACAGTGTGTCGCAGCTCCTTACTGGCAGGCACGAAAACCAGCAAATCCGCAACCATCAGGCAAACCTGATCCTAAAGCAAACAAAAACTACACAAGTTAGAAGATCAGTACAGAGATCGCAGCATAAAGCCTGCAACCTAGACACTGAGGGCTAGGCTGGGTGGACAGTAGCTAATAACAGATGTCCACACTAATGAACTAAACTAGTCAGAGCTCTCAAAGTTCCTCGGGAAGCTTATAGTGTACTCTTAACAAGACCTTCCCAGAGCATAATCTCTTTGCAGATGTTATGTGAAGTATTACCTGTGCACAATACTCGACAAGCAAAAGGAAGACTGAAAGAACAGAGACTTTAATTCTCATTGTGCTACTTCTCCCTAATAGCAGGCACAGAGAGGGTGCTGCACCCCTAACCCTTTGAGAGAACATTTTGCACAATACCCTATCACCGACACCCATCATACAAACCTTAAAGGACCAAAGTCGCAGCTTGTGGTCCTGACACAGAGCAAAGATAAAAGCATCATGTTCCAACAGCTGAACTGCAAGACTGACAGGCAGGTCCGAGGGGCCTTGGTCACCTCTGCAGAAAGCACACAGATATCTTTCAATCATATTTAAACAGGGATCATTCAGCACACCCATCCATTCAACATTCCGCCCCCGTGCTACCTGCAAAACAAACCCCCTATTCTCTCACTGCTTAGAGGACAAAGGAATGGGTCAGAGAAACAGGTAGCAGTGGGTTATACTGTGTGGATTTTCCCTTCACTGTTACCTTTCCCTATCCATGAAAGCCCATAAAACCTCCCACGGCCACCCACTTCCCAGATCAGAGGAACATTCCACCCCATGCCTGTGTCCTAAGGAAGGAGCACCACCCCTGACCTTCAAGAACCTCCCACTGGCCTACACACAAGAGCAGCCCGGGACAGGACAAGACAGGATGGGCTCACACTAACCTGATTGCAGTCGGCATCCACCCGGTCAGTAAGCGCTGCATGACTGAGCTATGCTTGAGCTCCAGTAAAACCGGATTGCCTGCAACAAGACAACAGTCAATCTCTATGTGCCTGTACCAGACAGACAAATTCAGAGCACAATCCCACAGTTCCACCACTAGCATTCATGCTGAAAACTGTACTGACAATTCGATCAAACTATGTCACTCTATCAAAGAGAATGCCAAAGAGGAAACAGCCATGGATTTTATATAGAGGCAGATATCAGGGAGTGGGTTATAAGCTGCAATCAGATTTGAGGGGCTCAAATGAGACCAAAAATCTGAAGACTCACTGACAAGTGCCCCTCCTCCAGAGTGATACAGACAGTGGTATGTTCAACAGAATGGTTTTTAATCAACTCTGCCACATCCCACCCTTTTCCCCAATCATTGATCCACGCTGTCCACAGGTTATACACGTCATAAATCTTTCTGTCAGTACTACATGAACAAATGACAAGACAGGGTGCGTACACAGCAATGTCAGATGATTAATGCCTGGTCCCTGTGACCACAAACCCCACATTACCTGCCGCGTCTTGCTCGGGAAGTTGGATAATGAGAATGCCTCCAGACCAAGATGCGAGTGCAAACAGAGCCTCTCCATCACTGTTCAGCCAAGTGGCTGATGCTGTCGAGTTAGTCGAGTGGCCCTGGATACCAGGAATCATAAAACTGTTTGCTGGATCACGAAGATTTAACTTTCCAATGTCAGTGAAGATGGATTGGACATGCCCCTCAGTGAGCAGCTCCTGCCAAGATATTACCAGGAGAAATGAAAAGTAAAGTGAAGGTTAACTTCAGGAAATCTAACTGTACCAGCCGAGGGAGCAAAGCTGGACAGTGACCCCCATGTGAAGGTACTCTTGGGGGACTAGGTGCCACAGCAATGTCAAACATACGGATATCCTGACTCTGCAAATGCCTCCACACACTCGCCGCACAGGCGCAGTCCCTCGTCTGTAACACCGCCTGCACAGGCGCAGTCCCTCGTCTGTAACACCGCCTGCACACACCCACTGCACAGACACAGACTCTCATCTACAACAGCCTCCACGTACTGCAGATACAGTTGCTTGTCTATAACACTGCCTCCACACACTCACTGCAGGTACATTCCCTCCTCCATATCAGTGCCTTCACACTCTGTCTACACACAGTCCCTAGTCTTTACCACTGTCTCCCCACACACACTGCACAGATATTGTCCCTCATTTACAACACTGCCTCCACAAACTCACTACAGAGGGTCACCTGCCTGTGGATAAAACTGATTGTACTAGCTCACTGCATCTCCTTAGGACTGGTGTTTCTGGTCTCAAGCACACTTATGCAATGAAGCTTTCAATGACTTACCCACCTACACCCCAACGAGTTGATCCTTCTCCATACACTTCCTAAACAATCCCAAAATTAGTCAGGCCTCATCTGACTCAATTCAGAAAATATGGGTCTCTTGTCCCTTTAGTGGATCGTGTGAAGGGAGCGGTGTGAATCAGTTGGGAGCACACTGGCATGTGGGTTACATTGCAGGTTGAAGTCCCATTCAGCTGCTGCAGGGAGAGGGTGGGATATAAAGAGAACATTAGCCCAGACTTCCACAAGCTCGGAAGGGTTCATACTCACACTCCGGTACATGCGCGAGGGGTGAGGCAGCACAATCCTGTGTACAGTCTGGTTGGTTAGAATGAGTAGAGTCACACGGTCATGAGTCTCGTGTATGTGGACACCACCTGGAAGCAGGTGACAATTCAGGAACTTGATGCGGACAGTGTTGTTGAGGAGGTTACAGTCCAGGGACTGTTCCATCAGCTGCAAGGTGTCACCAGAAGTAGTCCTAAAGAGATGGAGAAACAATGTCAGCTCCTCACACCCTTCATGCTGGCCCTGTCTGTCAGACAGGCAGCAGCAGAAACACAGCCTGTCCTTCACTAACCCTCCCCATCTGTACCCATACACTACAGCTAGGGCACAACCTGCCACTCATTCATCTTCCCCAGTACAGCAGGGAAACAACATATATAGCCCTTCCTCATTTAGGACAAGCACACAACTTGCCCCTTGTAGATGGTACGCACTGCTGCTACTGAACGTCGGTCAGTGATGGGAGTGGATGTTTGTAGATGTGGTGCCAATCAAGCGGGCTGCTTTGTGCTGGATGCTGTCAAGCTTCTTGAGTGTTGTTGGGGCTGCACCCATCCAGGTTCCGGAGAGTCAGGAGGTGAGTTACTCGCCGCAGTATTCCTACCTGCTGATTTGCTCTTGTAGCCACAGTGTTTGTGGCGAGTCCAGTTGAGTTTCTGGTCAATGGTAACTCCCAGGATGTTGATAGTGGGGGATTCAGTGATGGCAACACCATCGAATGTCAAGGGGTGGTAGCTAGATTCCCTTATTGGTGATGGTAATTGCCTGGCATTTGTGTGACGTGAATGTTACTTGCCACTTGTCAACCCAAGCCTGGATATTGTCTAGGTCTTGTTGCATGTGAACATGGACTGCTTCAGTATCTGAGGAGTCACAAATGGTGCTGAACATTGTGCAATCATCAGCAAACATCCCCACTTCTGACCTTATGATGGAGGGAAGGTCATTGATGAAGCAACTGAAGATGGTTGGGCCTAGGACACTACCCTGAAGAACTCCTGCAGAGATGTCCTGGAGCTGGGATGACTGAATCCAACAACTACAACTATCTTCCTATGTGTCAGGTGTGACTCTAAGCAGCAAAGACTTTGTCCCCTGATACCCATTGATTCCAGTTTTACTATAGATCCTTGATGCCACAGTCAGATATGGATACATGGAAACACCACCCACAAGTTCCCCTCCAAGCCGTCCTGACTTTGAAATATATTGTCATTCCTTCACAACATTAGGTCAAAATCCTGGTCCTTCCTCCCTCCCCCATAGTGTCCTGGGACTGCTTACAGTACATGCACTGCAATAGTTCAAGAGAACAGCTGACCACCACCTTTTCAAGGTTAATTAGGGACAAGCAACAAATGGCACCACCTGTCAACATGGCCCACATGCTATGAATGAATTCAAAAAGTACCATGTCATGAAACTCAACACCATCCAGGACAAAGAAACCCCGTTAATTCACACCTCGTCCATGACCTTCAACATTCACTTCCTACATCACTGACATTCAGTAGCAGCAACGTGTACCATCTAAGAGATGCACCAGAGGAATTCACCAAATGTGCTTCCAAATCTGTGACCTCTACCATCAGGAAGGACAAAGGCAGCAGACATACACAATCACCATTACCCTGCTGGTTCCCTTCTCTGCATGGAGCCTCAAGTGTAAGGCTACTTTATTAGGGTACTCTGTTTCACAGCTAATTATGATCCAATACTGCACCCTGCAGGTAGAACACTGTTGCAAGCACCATGCAACATTCAAAAGCGTAACCCAAAACATTAGAATATGCAATTATCTTTCTTTACTCTATCCATCCTCATACTGTCCCAAATCTTCCGATCTTGAATCTAATTCAGTAAGTCTCCTGGTAGCAGTACTGTTTACGGCTCTGGCAAGTACAGAACAGGGTCACCAGGTCTATTTGACAAATTACAAACAGAAACTACCCACCAGTGTATGAAGCGATTCCTGGTGACTGATTGCAGCTTCCCACTGTCTTCATAGAAAAATCCTCCAGCACTATCGGAATATTTCAATCCTGGGACAGCATTCACACCTGTAGGATAGGCAGACATGACTCAGTCAGCTCAGCTCAGACACAGACACAGACACAATCAGCGTGACCCTGAAATTACTCTTTTCCATTTACACAAAGCAGCTGAATGAAATAAAGTGAAAACAATAATCTATATTTCTTTAAAAGATCAGCTACTAAACCACTCTAAACAAAAGGAACATGTCAAAAGTTTCCTTGTAAAGGATTTGCACATTATCTCTGCTCCTTACTTGCCTCTTTTCCTGAAAGGACTAGCTCATACGAGCTTCTCAGAGTCTCTCAGTGGACAGCAAATACAGGGGCCTCCAATATTGTAACACAAGATGTAAACTTCACCTACATGCCAGTTGGCCCATCAGCTCTGTCTAGCTTTCTGACACAGCTCCCCACTGAGTTTCAATCCTCTGTCCTTTCTGTTCCCCATTTATCATTTTATTTCTGTCATCATCGAAAACCTTTAAACCTGACTACTTTTTCATATTCATCTGTTTTCATCCTTGAGCAACAAACACCAATCTTTGATCACCAACTGATGAATGCCCATCCTTTGTTACAGGTATTGTGACCAGTGCAAAGAGCCTCCTGGTTTACTGCGTCAACATTACAATGTTGAACACTGACAAGATCGCTCCTTTTAAATCTCCTTTAACCCAAGATCAAGTTCCACTGCCCTCCTCACATTTCCCACTGCCACCCACTTCTACAGGCCTCCAGCATGCCACCTGGCATCATCTGAAACCAAACTCTGCTGTCTATCTGTGCCCTCTCCGCCAACCTCCCCCTCACCCAGCTCCACTGTAAACCCTCTCTGTCACATTCCCCACACCACCGCATAGCCCCTCTCCCTGTCAAGATCCCACCCGAGGCATTCCCCTCCTCTGTTGCAAACCTCCCCCACTGCATTCCCCAACATCTCTCTCTCTCTGTCGCATTCCCCTCTCTGTTGCATCCACTCCCCACAACTCTCCCTCTCCTTCCGCGTCACATTCCCTCTCCCTCCGCGTCACATTCCCTCCCCCTCTCTCGCTGTGTGACACATTCTCTCTCTCTCTCTCTGTGACACACACTCTCTCTCTCTCTCTGTGTCTCATTCTCTCTGTGTCTCATTCTCTCTGTGTCTCATTCTCTCTGTGTCTCA